GGAGGCTGAGCGGCCCCAGGAGCTCCTTGCGCAAGTCAATTTCGTCGCCCCCGCGAAGCAAGGTGGTCGCCCGGGACAGCGCGGGCAGTCTGGTGGCAATCACCGCGGTGGCGCGAAGCTGACGAAGGACGCTGACAAGCAGAAGTCTGCCAAGGATGGCGGTAGTGGAGGAGGAGGTCGACGTCGGGAATGCTGGCTATGTGGCGATCCCAATCACCTCTCCTTCGAGTGTCCCGACCGCAATGACTCGGACGACGATGAAACCAAGGGAGGCCGCGGAAGGTCTGGCAGCCGTCGTCCGCGTCGACAAAACCAGCCGCAAAAAGAGAAGCAGTCGATTAAGTCGACCTCGGCGAAGGACGCCGACTCTTCCGTGGGTGGCAAAGGGAGAGGCAACAAGGAGGCGTCGTGCTCGCTGGTCGGTATCGTGGAGCCGACCGTCTCGCTGACGCCGGAGGCTGGCGAGGATTTCCAGACGATGGCGGCAGCCATGCAAGCGAACCCCGTGGTGGTTCTGCTTGACAGCGGCTGCTCACAGCACCTGATGGGGACGAAGGAGGCCTTCGTCGAGTTGGGGCCGAGCGGCGACGTGAAACACGTGCGCGGCTTCAATGGGGCGTTGCATGAAGTTCGCGGCCGTGGCACAGTTGCTCTGCAAGGGGAGGCCGGGAAGCGGGTGCTCATCTATGACGTTCTTTACATCCCAGGCGTGCAGACGAATCTGCTTTCCGCTGGCCAGCTGAAGGAGAGCGGGGTGACGCTGAAGGACGACGGCGACAGGATGTTGCTCGTCTCCGCAGCGGAGGACGTGCTCAGCCGAGCAACGTACAGCGGCCGGGTCCTCTGCACTAACCTACGCCCATGCGCGGTAAAAACGACGACGCCTGCGAAAGCGGAGGTGGCTCTGCGGGCGATAGTCTTGGCGACGAAGACAACCCCAAACAGGCTGCACGCTAGGACTGCGCATGTTGGGATGAAAACCATACGGAGCTCGGCAAAGCACGAGGTCGCCACCGGGCTGGACCTCAAGTCGGCGTCTGGCGCCGACTGACCGTGTGTTTTGTGCGTCGGCGGGAAGCTGGCGCGGCACACCTTCCCCGACCACGGCTCCGACGCCGACGACGTTCTGGCCGTCGTGCACATCGACTTGTGCAGGCCATTTCGCGTGGCTGCCAAGGACAGCAGCCTATACTACTTGGTGCTGAAGGACCGCAAGACCCGCTATGTGTTGGTGAGGCCGGTCGCTAAGAAGTCAAACGTGCTGCTGGAGTTCCAGAAGTGGCTGGTGCTGGTGGAGCGACAGGCGAAGCATTTGGTGCTGCAACTGCGTTCTGACCGCGGAGGGGAGTTCATCGGGAAGGACTTCACCGCCTTCGTGGACAGTAAGGGAATCGTCCACGACTTGACCTGCCCTTACACCCCGCAGCAGAATGGCATGACGGAGCGGGAGATGCGGACGGTGGTGGAGTCTGTGCGGACGATGCTGCTGCACATGGGCGTGCAACACCACTGGTGGCATCTCGCTCTGCGGCAGGCCGTCTGGGTTCGCAACTGCCTGGAGCGGTCATCGACGCCGTACCATCACCTCACCGGACAGAAGCCTGACTTGTCGATGGCGCGGGTGTGGGGCTTCCTGGCACAATTCCTTGTCCCTGAGCAGCAGCACGGTGGAAAACTGCAGCCGAAGGCTCAATGGGCCCTTTACCTCGGCGTGTTGGAGAAGAGCAAAGGCTAGGATCTCCTTGACATCACCGCCAACCGGGTGGTCACCACGTCGGACGTGGTGTTCTACGAAACCCTGTCGCTGGAGGTGTGGAAGTCGGACCTCGGGCCTGCGTCGGGGCGGACGAGGGCCAACCCGCCGACGGACACCTCGACGGCGACGCTTCCTCTGCTCGCTGAGGATGGTGAGTGGGCTGATGAGGATGTCGCGGTCGCCCCTACCTCGCCATCTCCTGCCCCTTCTTCCCATTCCCTTCCCGTCGAACTGCGTGACCTGACTCCGGTGTCCGCCTCCGGCGATGAGGGGAGCCGTAGGGCGTCGCCTGTGGCGCCAGCCAAGAACATCGCCGGTGGCCGGCGTGACGCCCAGCCAGTCGCGGAGAAGAGGACCGCGGAGGAGACCGTGAAGGAAACCGCGACGGACACCGCGGTGGAACCCGCGAAGGAGCCCGCTGAGGAAACCACGGAGGAGATCGCTAAGCCGACCGCGGAGGAGACCGCGGGGGAGATCGCGGAGGAGCCCGCGGCTAGCAGGTAGCATACAGGGGAACAGGCAGCAGCGAAGACAACCGCGGAGCAGTTGGCAGGGGAGCCGTCGAACGCGGAGCTCGCTTCAGAGGAGCGGACGACAGGGGAGCGGTTCGATGAAGGCACATCGAGGGACGTGGTGAAGGTGCAGCCCGACCTCGGAAGTCGGGCCCAAGCGTGAACGCGGCAGAGGAGTGTCAACAGGAGTGGTGTTTGGCCCCGTCCTCGCTTGGGCGGAGCAAACCGCGGGAAAACCGCGGGTCCGCGGGAGGGCCGCGGGACCGCGGGAGAACCACGGGGCTGCGAAAGGACCGTGGGGACCGCGGGACCGCGGGAGGGCCACGGAACCGCGGGGGGACCGCGGGTTCCACGAGACCGCGGGAGGACCGCGGGAGGGCCGTGGGAGACCATGGGACCGCGGGAACGTTGGTGGCCACGGGTGGACAACCGGGGGCCACGGGATACCCGGTCGACCAGGATACCCGGGCGATGTGTGCGAAGGTTGCCGAGAAGTGGTTTATGTGAGGACGACCTCGGGGGTGGTGTTCCAAGGTCGACGTGGCTGGTGGGCACCGTCACGAGTGGAGTGTCTGCAGTGGGCGTGTGACGAGGAGTTGGGCGCCAACCAGCCGCACGCACCTGCAAAGCAGGTGCATCGTTGTCCCGCGGATGCAATGCTGTGCAGCTGAGATACTGCAGTGTTGGCACACCGCGGACTGGCAACATTGGCAAGCCGCGACTCTGCTCTGCTGGAGCACGGTCGACCAAGTCGTGCTGGCACGCGGTCGACCGTGTTGCGCTGGCAGTCGACCAGCAGCCTTGCTAGGTCTGATGTAGTCTGTTTTGCCAATGTTGATGCTATTATTCTGAATCCTTGTTGCCATGTTTTCCTAGTGAAACTCTTGCCAATTTTCCCTGTGAACTAGCAAGTAGTGTTGGCACTTGGAAACAACTAAGGAACGAACGAATGCTACGATCACTCTTGCCCCGTGCCTAGCCCGTAGTCTAGCTCCCGTTGCACTAGTAATCTCCGCTTGAATGACTCTACCAGATCTGAAAATCTCTAATCCTGCCCGTATTGGAGCCTCGATACCTTGTTGTAACATCCAGGTTACCTGCCTTGTATCGTGCCTCTATAGTCACGTAGTCATGCCTAGGTTCCTTATTGAACATTAAAGCGAAGTCTTGATTATCTCACAGGATGCATCCGTAGAGGACGCACACCGTTCGTGCCAAGGAAACGTGGTAATGATGTCGAGGTCCTGATGGCCACTGGCACCCACTAAGTTCCTGGAGGATGAGGATATGTGTAGACCTACGAGGGGACTGCCGTGCTGGAAATGGACAATTTGAATGGCCCCAAGTGGTCTTCCCAAGGGCTACGGGTGTCGTCAGAGGGGGGGGGGGAGGGGGGGGGGTATGGGTGCTCTGACCCACCAAGGAAACATGCCCATTAACCCAGCTGGTAAGCGAAATGGAGTGCTATCCTTGCACGGTGCGGTGATTGTGGAGGATCAGGATTCGATTTCTGCTGTCGACGATTCCCTGTGCCCTGGTGGTGGGCGCTCTTGGTCCGGGGAGTATTGGAAATGGACACTGGATTGGGCCGAAGTGGTTATGTGTGCACTGACCCACCAAGGAAACATGCCCATTAACCCAGCTGGTTAGCGAAATGGAGTGCTATCCTTGCACGGTGCGGTGATTGTGGAGGATCGGGATTCGATTTCTGCTGTCGATGATTCCCTGTGCCCTGGTGGTGGGCCCTCTCTATGAGGGGAGTGTTGGAAATGGACAATGGATTGGGCCGAAGTGGTTATGTGTGCGCTGACTCACCAAGGAAACATGCCCATTAACTCAGTTGGTTAGCGAAATGGAGTGCTATCCTTGCACGGTGCGGTGATTGTGGAGGATCAGGATTCGATTTCTGCTGTAGACGATTCCCTGTGCCCTGGTGGTGGGCCCTCTTGGTGAGGGGAGTGTTGGAAATGGACACTGGATTGGGCCGAAGTGGTTATGTGTGCACTGACCCACCAAGGAAACATGCCCTTATGATTCAGTTGGTTAGCGAACTGGAGTGCTACCCTACATGCTGAACAAGGGAGTGCAGAAGCCTTGCGTGCGACGACCGGCCCAGATGCGGGGTCGGCCACGGAGCTGCGATAGGAGCTGGTTGCAGCGAAAGGGTGGGGCGGTTGCGAAAGAAGAAATGGGTGGCACCGAAATTGAGAGAGGAGAGGGGTGCGGCAGCAGTAAACGCACATAGGCAAGCAATAACGCACTTCAATCAATCAGGGCAAAAAAAAATAGAAATTAACAAAATAAAATAGATAAAATAGATGCACGTATAATAAAATAGATTTTCTAACTGAATGGGGCAGTAGAAATTAACAATGATGGAATTTACGAACTCAATTTGTAGCACTTGCGACTCCTCTTTTTAATCGCATGTACCACATTCATACTCAAACGCTTGGATCCGCATGAAAGCTTCGCATTTTCAACATACCATATGGTATTTATACACACTGTACCATAATATCTCAAACATGGTCCGTTCAGTTGTGGTCATCACCCGTGCTCCTACTTGCTTCTCCACTTGTCCCCTCCCCAAAACTCAAGCTCTCATCCTCTTCAGTCGTTCCCCTCACCACACTCACTCTCCTTACCGCAGACTCAGCTGAAGGGCACACACAGTTATCCCTCTGCAGCCAACTCCCTCCCCCCGTTCCCAGCCCCCCCAGCCCACTCCCTTACTGCGATATTCTCTCCCCCTCCCGCCTCACCACCTCCTCGTGCAGTAGCTTCAGCTGTGAGAGCACTTTGGCCATGGAGGGACCAGAGGCAGCAGGCATGGCCGTGCATGCCAGTGCCAGGGATGCAAGGCTGTTCATGACATCAGCATGCACAATGCTAGCACCAAATGCTGCAGGGGAGACCATCCGAGGGTCTATAATGGAGCTGATGTCACCACTGGAGAGCGCGGCAGCCGCCTGCATGAGTGTGTGCGAAGAGAGAGAATTTTTAGTCAACTCAACAGTCATCCGAGGCAGCGAGTGGACTGCGGCATACAGATGAGGGAAATGAAACACACCTATTCTCCGATGTGTGATGCTAGCCATCAAAAGAAAGGATGTATTGCAAGGCACTGGTTGGAGCACTCAGATAAGAAAAATGACTTACCCACTCCTGAATGTGCTCATGGCATCGACTGAAAGAACGGGCTTTTGAGGTATTTTAAGAGTGACTCACCCAGTCCCGGATGTGTGACTGTGAGCCATCGATTGACAGCATTGGTTCCCTACCGGTCAGCATCTCCAGCAGTAGCACTCCGAAACTAAGGGAAAGGGGCGGGGGTGGTCGTTCAGGAGAGATGAGTGAGGAGAGAGAAGTGGTGCTGAAGGAGAATTCGTTATTATTATAGTCAACTGAGATACGGGTAGTCGGTCAGTGTAGTGGCGGAGAAAGGAGTCATGCTCAGCGAGGATCTGCAGCAGCTGCTGCACATTCACAGCTGGCAATGGGATGATGCACACAAATGCACGTTTGCCAGGCACACAGTTATCCACCCTCTATGTTTGCAAAATACTTTTGCGTGTTGGTGGTAGCGAGTGACAAGATGCCGTGGTGCTATTTGGAGAGCCTATTTTTTAGGCGCCTCAAGCCTAAAAAATATCCACCCCATGCAGATCACTAGACACTTTTGCATGCTGGTGGGAGTGATGACAAGATGCCGTAGTGCTATTTGGAGTGCACATAGCCTGATGCTCCCATCACCCATGCCCACACAATGCAGCACCAAGGCATCACCACCGGTCAGCACCGCTCACCTGTATACATCAGTGGCGGTGGTGGCAAGGCGGGTCTGGAGGTATTCGGGGTCCACATAGCCCGGTGTGCCCATCACCCTCGTGGTGTTCACCTGGTTTGCCTCCATCTTCCGCATGAACCCAAAGTCCGCCACCTTTGCCTGAAATGGTGCATTGCATGGCGGCAGAGAGGGAGGGAGATCAGGCAGGACAAGTTGAACAGGGTGGCTCCTCGAGCTGTAGAGAAGGGTTCTGGGGGTCACTTCCATCTCCGCATGAACCCCAAATCCGACACCTTCGCCTGGGAGGGTGGGTGGTGTTGTGATGGAGGAGGAAAGGAGGAGATGGGTTAACCCGAATTCACCACCTTTGGTTGAGAGATGCTCTCCAAGAGGTGTGTGGCATGGCATGAAGGAGGAGGAGAGGTGAAGGAGAGGGAGATTGTTAGAAGTTTGCATAAAGAAGGGGACACATTTGTGGTTTCAGGGCCAAGTGACAATGGAACAGTGAAGAAGTAAATGGAAGCAAAGCAGGAGTCCGAAACTAATGTAGTACTGTTGGATGACTCACCCACGTGTCTGCATCCAGCGTACATTTTTCACCCGCGCCTAGCTAGTCATTTTAAGCTCCGGCCTCACCTGCATGTCGGCAATCAGCAGCACGTTGGCCGGCTTCACATCGCGGTGCGTGATCCGACGGTTGTGGAGGAAGCTCAGCCCATCCACCACGTCCACCAGCACCGCCAGCCTCACACGCAATGACATGGGCTTGGCCCCTGGGAGGTGGGGGTGTAGGAGAATGAAGAGGGCACGATGGAATGAAGGAATGGAGGCATGAAGTCATGGGTTTGGCTCCGGGGAGATGTTGTGAAGACATGGAAAAATGAATAGGGCCTCTAGAACAGGTGCTTGCAAGCTTGGCTCCTGAAAGGCACGGGCATGGGGAAGCAGTGAGAGGAGGGCTTGGGGAATGGGAGTATAGAGGGATGGGATGGGAGGGCTCCCCATTCTTCCACCCTCTATTACTTTCTCCCAACTGCCTCCCTCATCATTCGACATCCGTCATCATTCGACATCCGTCATCATTCGACATACGTCATCATTCGACATACGTCATCATTCGACATCCTTCATCATTCGACATCCGTCATCATTCGACATCCGTCATCATTCGACATACGTCATCATTCGACATCCGTCATCATTCGACATCCGTCATCATTCGACATACGTCATCATTCGACATACGTCATCATTCGACATACGTCATCATTCGACATACGTCATCATTCGACATACGTCATCATTCGACATACGGCATCATTCGACATACGTCATCATTCGACATACGTCATCATTCGACATATTCATTGAATATGAATCGTCCTTTCATTGGATCACCACTAACATACATATATATATACATATACAGTATCATTACCTTTTTGTCAACGTTATCTCTATTATACTAGGAACCATCATACGAAGTGTACTGCCATCCTTTGTATTCTGAAGGATACATCAAACCCTAAACTCTAAACCCTAAACAACAGTGAGGTTTTGAGACATGAAGATCTGCATCCTTCCTTTTGAAAAGCGTGGGCTTCCTAAAATCAGTTTGTAAAAGGTGCAAATGGGAAGAAAAGGCAACTCATGTTTGAATTTGACTCATTGTTGCTGGCATGCATATTGAAATCGAATTATAGAAGTGGTTGACTTCAATAGCTTAACTTGGACATTTCCCCTCCTATTTTGGACTATAGATTTTACAGCTCAACCATCCTTTGTGTACTGCCATCAAACCTTATTGAACAAGCCCTGCTGGCCTAACCGCACCTGGCATGGTCCACTGGGAGAGATCCCCATTGGGCATGAACTGAGACACGATGATTTGCTCCATCTGCAGGGTCTCCTCATTGTAGTCGATGCAGTACCCCAGCAGCGGCACCACTGCTGGGTGCTTCAGCCGTGACATGTCTGCCGCCTGGGAGAGGGAGGATGTTGGATGCACGTCATTATGAGTGCATGTCATCCTAACGTCCTGCCGAGTGCTCGTGCTATTCATGCGTGCATTGTTTGCATGAGCATATGTCATGGTGCATGGCTGTTGGATATTTTCATCTCTGTGTTTTTCTCCAAGTTTAAATGCTTGATCATGCAGGAGAAATCCAGAGCTTTCCAACGATACCAAGATCACCTTATTCCGACCAAGATCGCACAAGTTACAAGATTTCCAAGACTTGGATTCCTCATCACCTTTTGGGGTTATATCTAATTTGGGTGATTACTTGGACATGACTATAAACGGATCTTTGGTTGGGTGGTTAGGAAGGCAACTTTGAATTTTGGTTGGGGTGGCTAGAAGTTTCAAGCATGGGTTGCAAATGTTGCAACACCTAGGCAAAATCCAACTAGATTGGATTTTGCATGTGACACCTGAAGGACCTCATGATGAGGGTTGCATCCTTGCTGCTAGGAAGGTTCCTACCATGCTTCCCTAGCTCTTGGAGAACCCCTTCCCTCTCATGGTTCTCTTGGAGGTTCCCAACTCCAACTTTTTATGCCCTACATGCTTGTACTTCTTCCACCAATCTAGTCATGCGGCTGCTGGACGTTTTTTCTTGGTTCTCACTCTATAGACCATCTTAACGACTGATTCAACTTAGAGATGGTAGCTAAGCCTAAGACGCAACTTCCTACCGAGCGGATTTGCGTTTAGTTGAGTAATGAGTTCGTCGTAAGCTCTCAAAATGACGGATCCTGAACAACGGAGGATGGTCGGGAAGACGAAGTAAAAGAACGAGGTGTGCGTGAGAGCCAAGTTGTAGCTGATGCAGTACCCAGCACCACTAGTAGCCTTGCGCGCTGCAACAACAACTGTGAGGTTTTGAGACATGAAGATCGGCATCCTTCCTTTTGAAAAGCGTGAGCTTCCTAAAATCAGTTTGTAAATGGTGCAAATGGGAAGAAAAGGCAACTCATGTTTGAACTTGACTCATTGTTGCTGGCATGCATATTGAAATCGACTTATAGAAGTGGTTGACTTCAATAGCTTAACTTGGACATTTCCGCTCCTGTTATGGACTATAGATTTTACAGCTCAACCATCCATTCGTCTTTAGACTGATTTCAACCCTTAACGTAATCCCTTCGCAATGTTGGTACACATCTCTTCCCAAGATCAGTGAGACCATTCGTTTTTTGCCAGAGTTCTCCTCACTGCATAGTGCTCACACCTTTGATAGCGACAAAAAATACATCGTTGTAAAATTAAAAAAAAAAAAAAAAAAACCTTAAACGAAAAGCTTGCTGGTTTTCAATCTCATCCCAACCCATCTGACCCATTTCCCATATTCAGAATTTGCAGTTTTGTACTGCAAACAGCATCCCTATCTGCTAACCACTTGCACAAAGTCATTGGAGGGGGCCGTGGCACGTTTGACAGGCCACACCCGCCCCACGCCGTATAAAATATGTGATGTCCCTCACCTCCTTCATAAAGTCGTTGGAGAGGGCCGTGGCGTGCTTTACGGCCCACAGCACCTCCGGGTCTTGCGGGTCCACGCCCTTGTACACGTTGCTGAAGCCCCCCGAGCCGATCGGGTTGGCCTCCGAAAAGAAGTTGGTGGCCTGCTGGATGTCCGCCAGTGAGTACTGCTTGCAGGCTGGGGGAGGAGAGGGAGGTGGGGGGAGGGGGGGGAAGGGGGTGGTGGAGAAGGGGTGGTGGACAATGGAGGGAGGGGTGAGGGTGGATAGAGGGAAGCATTTTTCTAGGATCTGACCCAATCAGACTGACCTTCGAGAAGAAGTTGGTGGCCCGCTGGATGTCTGCGAGTGAGAAGCAAGACATGAGAAAGAAACGGGGCTGGAAGGAGGCATTTGTTTTGTGGAAACTAAGCTGATGAGTAGAGGAGGAGAGAATTGGGTGACGACAGAGGGAGGCAGAGGTGAGTGGCAATGTCTTTGAGTGTCTGTTTATGCACTGGCAGTTCAGCCACCCACAGGCGGCTTGGCTTGTTCAGTTCATAATAAATTGCAGCATCCTACCAGGCTTCGTTTGGCGGAAGCAGAACCAGAGCAAGATGATCAGGGCAATGAGAGCAAGGAGTGCAATGAGTGCCGCCGCCACTACGGCTGCTATGACCCCCGGGAAGCCAAGGGGTTGGCTGAAGCATGGAGAGGGAGAACCGAAAAAAGGAGAGAGGGCAATGACAATGATGAGAGTTTGGAATGAGTGTGCAAGTGTGGCTGCGATAGCTTATAGTCAGAGTGGGGTGGTGGTGGCAGAGCAGAGCAGGCAAGCAGTGTGATAGGGGATTGTGAGAATACGGTGGTGGGAGAAGGAGAGATGGAGGGACAAATATTGACGATTTCGTTTTTGCAAAGAGTTTAGCAAGGCGTGATTGATTCCCGCCAGATCTGCGCCAAGCCTTACAATAACTATTGTAGGGCTTTTGTGAAAGTGCCTGAACACCTTGTTTTCCACCGTTATCTGGCTAGGCCATTATGGATTTCAAAATGGTTGATGTAGGGTTGGTTAGCAGCCAAGACAAGGCCATTCCTGGCCCATCCGCACTAGTTACTGCAACTGGGACCGCAAGCCCTCTCGCACCTCTCGAGCTCATAGGGGGGCAATACATAGGAGTACCCACGTTACCAAAGAGCTACAGGTTTAGTGGCAGGGGGCTGGCTGCACCCTCACATCGGTATGGGAAGTCTCGTGATGAGACCGACGAGAATTCAGAGGGGGCCGAGGAGGATGCGGAAGGGGGGAGGGGGAATGTCAAGGGTGGTGGGGGGGAGGGGAAGCCAAAGGGATTGGCTGGAGAGTGGCGGCTGGAAAAGAAGCGCCTACGCATCCAACGTAGTCCATCCGATAGCAATGACAAGGATTATGATCCAAAGAAAGATAGGGATTGCGCGGGGTGGAGGGATGACGAGGAGGAGGAGGAGAAGGGTGAGGAGGAGGAGGAGGAGGAGGAGGAGGAGGAGGAGGAGGAGGAGGAGGAGGAGGAGAAGGAGGAGGAGGAGGAGGAGGAGGAGGAGGGGGAGGGAGAGGGTAGGGGTGAGGAGGCTGAGGAGGAGGAGAAGGAGGTGTCACAGCCGGGGAAGGCTAAGGGGAAGGCCAAGGGGAAGGCCAAGGGGAAGGCCAAGGGGAATGCCAAGGGGAAGACCAAAGGCAAGGGGAATGGGAAGAAGAAGGGCAAGGGTAAAGGCGTACAAGGTCAGGAGGAGGGGGGGGAAGATGACGGTATGGCCGCGTCGGTAGATGAAAATGATGGGCCTTTAAAGGCCAAGAAAGGGTGTAAGAATGCCCCGGGGTGGCAGGTCCAGATGTTCGGGCCATTGGGGGCGAAAGAGAAGCGCAAGTGTAAGATGTGCGACACTCGTATCTGTTGGTCGACGAGCACTACGACTCCAAGGGTGCACCACATGCTTGCGAAGCACACAGCGCACCACGGCATTTGGCAGTATAGGTCCCTTAGACCACACCTACTGACTAAGGGGGAGACTTTCCCAGAGGGTGGCTACGATGGAGTTCCCAACAAGAAGTTGGTGGATTGGCCACACGTGGCCTCGTGGCCCAATATCCCGGTGGTGCAGACCGCGAGCGCGAAGGGTGAAGCAGGCGGCATTGAGCGCTTTGTTATAGCGAGGGTGAGTAAGTTAAAGCTTCGTGCGGCGATCACGAAGCTTGTGGTGACCGGCGACTTGCCCTTTCGCATCGTCGAGCTAGGTGCGGGGAGAAAGCTTTCACCCCACGTGCTATTCGCTGTGCTTTGATGGATTGAGATTGCTGGCCGCACGTGCTACTTCATTGCAGTCCAGCCATCATGTCATCAACGCTGAGGATGCAACAACACCATTATGATAGTTTATGATATACGGTCACCCATGCTACACATGCCATGCCCCTATTAACGAATTGAGGTCCACCTTAATCGCCCCTCCTCGTGCTTGTATATACAACACCAGTTCAAGGAGTTGCTGATCATGCTGAACGAAAATTGTGGGGAAAAGGGCGTTATCCCATCACGCTGGATGGTGGCGCGTGACACCGTTGTCCTTGCTGACTTGGCGCTCGAGGCAGCGAATGCAGAGCTGGCCACTACAGCATGTGCCGTGTCGTACTGCACTGATATGTGGCCAGGCCCGAACGACAAGGCCTACATGGTGCTGACAGGTCACTGTTGGTGTAAGGGCCTAATAAACTCAAGCTATTAAGACTTTATCAAACTTAAAACCTCTCCTTGGGGTCACCTCCAAGGGTCCTTGGGTGCCAGGTACAAGACCAGCCCCTATCCTCGGGTCCGAGTTTGTAGAGAGAGGGATCAAGAGGGACTTAGTCAAAACAGCAAGACTACCTTGAATGTCACGCAGCCTATCGTGCAGACCGTCGATCAGATTAAGCTGAGAATTTTCTATATCGAACCTCGCTCCAAGAGCTTTAAAATGAAACAAGTTGCCTCGCAAAAAGTTCTGCCATTACGAAGTTATGGCTCGGACAATATTTGCCTAGTGTTGGAGTGCTAGCGTACTAGCGTTGACTCGGGTAGCATTCTGCCATCGCACCGCGTAGAAACGAAATTCCAGGAAGGGAAGAATTCGCTTGAATCAAATTGACTAAATCCAGGTACAAACAGAGAAGGAATAAATAGTTCTATCTAGCAAAGACCTTGGGAATGAACCTCGGAACAACCAGGGATGATCCCAAATAATTCCAAGCAACAGAACCAACCTAGCTAGACAAAAAAGCAGGTGGTAGGTTGGTAAACAACCTCTGGTTCTGTTTTTCCAACCTGGGAAAACAACAACCAGGTTCACGTCCTAATAACAGAACCTGTTTCGTCTTTGCCCAACCAGCCAAAAACTGGTACCGCTGGTTTCCCTTGGCCCTGTAGCATGCAGAAACAGACAAACAAAATCCAACCTTCACCTAAATTGTACCCCTATAGTGCTTGCCCTTCTACACTGTAGTCAATCAAACAAAACTGTACAATTTCGAGTTGGATAGAACTGAATCTGCACAATCAATTCAACCGAACCGCAAAGCTTCCATCTTGGGTTCCTTTGCAAGCTCGTCCTTTCTGCTTGTACTGTTCATAGCGCGTACAATGTTGTGCCAAAGCGCACAATGCGTGAGTACCTGCAAATGCTTCAAGCAAGAATTGCGAAAGCAAACAAACAGACAAACATTCCATTCACACCCAAATGCATTCGCACACGCATACTCGTACAAACAGACGGTAGGATGTCGTGCAATGTGATTTTTTACCCAACAAAACCTTGGGGAGGTAAAGTACTACCTCTGGATGCACGTGAAGTTCTCCATCAGCTGCTGCTGCACATTCTGGATCTTCTTCATGCTGCGGCTAAAGAGAAGAATGTCGTCCACATAGACCAGAAACAACACCAGCTTCTCCCCCTCCCCCTTGAGAAAGAGGCTCTCATCACAGCTGCTGGTCCTGAATCCCATCTCCTCTAAAACAGCTGCCAACTTCTGGTACCACCACCGCGGCGCCTGCTTCAAGCCGTAGATGGACTTTTTCAGCTTGCACACCCTGCATGTACCATCCGCATACCCAGGCGGCTACGTCATGTACACATCCTCCTCTAAAATCCCATTGAGGAATGCCGTTGATATATCCATCTGAATGATGAATTTCCCACTAACGGTTGCATCTGCCAACAAGACACGAAGGGTAGGGGGTTTGACAGTGGGAGCGAAAATCTCATTGAAGTCCCGCTTCTTCTTCTGCATAAACCCCTTAGCCACCAGCCTACTCTTGTAGATGGTGACCCGTCCCTTGTCATCGGTCTTGATCCTTAGCACCCACTTGCACTGTACAGCTTTCTTCCCATCGGGCAGCACCACCAGCTCCCATGTCCCATTCTCTAGTAGGCTCTGGTACTCAGCATCCCTAGAAACCAGCCACTTCTTTCTATCTGGTCCAGCTAATGCCTCCTCCATGCTAGCTGGTTCCTCTGGTGCTGGGGCTAGAAAACAGTAGGCAGATTCATCCTCCTCATCTGGGTCATAGCCATGAGGTAGAATCAGCAATGCTACCTCTGTCCCAAGCTGCTGTTCTGCTACATCAGCTCTTGCAGTCAATTTCTTAGTAGCCATACGTGTACGTCCTGGCCTGGAGACGGGTGTCTCCCATCCCTTCATAACAACACCCTAGTTGTAGATCGAGGTGGGGATGGTTCATGCCGATGTTCTTCAGATATCTGCAGGCAACGCAGAAAGCAAAGTAAAGGACAGTAATTGGGTGTTGTGCAGAGGGCAGGAAGATTTAGCAGTGCAGAGGGCAGCAAGATGCAGCAGTAAAGAGGGCGGCAAGGGGAGGGAATGTAAAGGGAAGCATGTGGTTGTGCGTCCACGAGAAGTCATGCGATTAAGAAGGGATGTACATTGATCTGCAAGCAACGGCATGCAAAAAATGGTTTTCATTATCCACAGAGCAACGAGGCACCCTTGGAGCAACGAGTTTGGTGAGTTCTCCAAGTAATGAGGGGATGGTGCTGTTGAGCTGGTTGTCTCGCAACCACCTGATGGGTGGGACTCAGGGAACAGGTGTGTGTGGGCACATGTCATGTCGTGATAGGTGTAGTGCATGAATGAACTTGCACTTGTGCATAGGGGTGTAGGTACTTGATCTGAAATTGTTTAACAAGGAACACACTAGAGCTTAAGAGGACTCGTTAATTAACAACAATGGGTTGGAAACGGTAGGAGGGAAATCGGGGACGATGCTCTACGAAATTAGCTGGAACCTTTTCATTGTTTAAGAGATTCTGGGTTTAGCTGAGGCTGGGATGTGCGCAAACACCCACACTTCACGTAATTAGCACTTGACAAAACAAGTACAAGTATGTACCCGGGGAATCATTCCCTTGTAGCTCTGTGATGCAATTTTTAAGTTGTCTCAGTTATCGTCCGTGCGCATAGGGCGAACATGTGCAGGCTGTGCACAGTGACAGCATCTCATATGTACCTTACAAGGCTAGTGGACTGTGCAGCTTGTGTACTGTGAAAACATGTGGTTGTACCTGGGATCCTGTTTATACTTGGGAGCATATTTCTACCTTAAAGGGGGAGCCTGGGCTTACAGCTCTGTGAGGTTGTGCAGGTTCGCCAAGGAGACCGGCACAGTGCCGTTGAGCTGGTTGTAACTCAGCTCCCTGCCGTGAGGGACGCATCCACAGAGCAAGGCATATAATGGGGAACACAAATAATGTGCAAAACACAAGTAACAAGCAGCAACGCACACAGAGATAGCATGGAAAAACAACAGGCGATATTGCCAAAGCTGGTGGGAGCAAACCCCGACGCGTTTAGAGACACTTTGTTGTATGTCAGCGTGCTGTCAGCAGGCCACTTCACACCACACACAGGACTCATGTTTGCTGCAGGTGCGAGAGAGTGCGTAAGCTGGTGGGGATGGACTTGGTGAAACGATACATTAGTTATATCAGCGTGCTGTCTACACACAAGACTCACTGTCACTGCAGGTGGGAAAGAGTGCCTTGGCTGGTGGGTATGGACCCTGTGAAACCATTGGTGCGCATCCCCCTGCATGCGTTGTAGCAGAGAGAGGCGTGTCATGGGGGAAAACAGTACAGGCCCGTCAAGACGGGCAGGGCAAAACGGGCAGGGCAAGAGGGGCCTTAGAATGGTGGCTGGAATAGCGCAAGGAAGGGTGTGGCAAGGAAGGGTGTGGCAAGGTGGTACAAATGATCTGTGTGACCTTCCCATGTCCATACATCCCGTCGTCCATGATACAGGAGGATAAACACAAGGCTCATCCCATTTAAGGTATACATCCCATTCTTCACCTCTAATGAACGGTTCCCTTCCTTACATCTCTACTATGGAGGTGTCAAGGTTCCCTTCCCTAGTTGTGTTACTTCTTGTCCGTACATGTTTTGATGGTTGCATGTGTTTCAGGCTCCTCAGAAGTGGAAGCAAGCGAATGGCCAACCTGTGCTAGCTAATTGTATGTCTTTTGAGGCCGCTCAAAAGTGCTAGCTAGTTGCGTGTTCTCCTTACATCTTCCTGAGCGCTGTGAGCTCGGACAGGAAGTCTGGCAAGTCTGCGTTCATACTGTTGAATGCCACAGAGCTGCACGAGGAGAGGGTGGTAGGGCAGAAGGAAAATATGCGGGGTCATCTGTATGCATAGTGATGTGGGTGGAGGAACAGGTGCAGGAAACCCTCAAAGAGGAGAGGAAGACAGCAGAAGGGGCAAAAGGGGATGTCATTCTCAGTGATTCTAATTAAAAGCAAACTCACTGAGCTGGGAGTTGGAGCAAAGCACTCATAGTTAGTGAGTTTGGAGGCCAGACCAGCAGTGTGCATCACATGCTGCAGC